AAAAAAGTTCCTAATTTCTCACAGGGTGTTTGAAGAGTTCAATGTAACAAAGAGCAAAAAGAACTTTCATCATTTCCCTTCATTTCTAGTTAAATCAAATGAGATATTTTTTGTTATTCTTACACTTTTTGGTGACAAAAAACATAGCATACTAAGGGCCTGTTTGTTTGCTTTGAAGTTTGACATATAAAAATGCAATAATTACATTAAGAGGTATATTGGTATTGGTGAACTTTTCTTTCCTATGACTCTAAATGCACAGAAATGTTGTTCTGAATTTTGAAATCTAAATTATGGAAATTATCAAATATTCGTTTTGACCTCATATATGAGAGTTTTTGTTTGCCTTTTCGGGGGTATCATTGGAAAACAAAAAATTGTATAATTGCACTTTACGAGATAAGAGATAAGAGGAACGAACAACCATTTTTCTCTTAAAATTAAAAGATTTTTCTTAAGAGATAAGAGTTAAGGGTATGTTTGGTTTGAAGAAAAAAGGTAAGGAAAGGAAGGAAAAGAAGAGGCCCTAAGTTTGTCATTTTTTTTTCTACTTTCTCCACATAAAATATTGTCTATCCGATTTTTGCTTCTCAACTCTTCCTAATAGATTTCTTTTTTATTGGATTTTTTTTGCATAGATTAAACCAAGCAAATTGTTTACTTTCTTATATAATGTTGGGTAACCAGAAATTTGGTATCAATTATGTGGATTGTTCATTAGAAGATTTCATTAATAATAGAAACATTAATGAACAAACAAGGCTAGACACATCATAGTTTTATGCCACCTATCCCCAACATATGAGAAGGAAAACATAGTTTTGTCAACTGAGTCCAAATGTCCAATACCTGAGTTGCTATTTGATCCAATTATCATGGATTTGTATATATATATATATATATATATATATATATAAGTCTTATATTTATATAATATGTGTATAAGTTAACATGTAAATAAATTTTCTTTTATTTATTTTAGGCACAATTTTAGGGTAAATTGCTAAAACCTACCCTAAAGTTTGGTAGTCGCAATACCCCCCTGGAATTTTTGACATAATTGCAAGTAGACAGCCCTATTAGAATCCTTTAACAAAGAGGCACAAAAATGTCGAAAATACCCATTCAATTACTTTTGGCCAAAATGTTTTTTTTCCTAAATTTTCTCTTTTATGAGATTAATTTATTTTCCAAATTTGCCCTTCAAATCAGTCACTCAAAGGTAAAAATACAACTTTAAACCATCATATTTTTGTTCATAAAGTTTGTATTATTTTTACCGTAGAAACAACCTCAATGGTAACCATGGTTATTTTGAACATCTTTATGCATCTTTATGCATCTTTATGCCTCTTTTTAAAGGAGTTGAACAAAAGGGTCTACTTGCAACTGTGTCAGAAAGTTCAAGGAAGATAATTGCAATTACCAAACTTCAAGAGAAGTTTCAGTTTTATGTAAAACTTTGGGGAAGGTTTCAGCAACTTATCATCTCAGTAAGAAAAGAGCTGATTAATACAAAAAAACTTAGCACTTTCCAAATTGCCCACAGGACAGGCGAAGGTAGTTATTTCAAGGGGGGTTTTGATTGGTGAAAGCCATTCCGGCAGCATACATTTTTACTATTATTAGGTGGGCAGTGGGCTGTGTTGGATCGACACGCGCAGGACGTGCTGTAATCTAATTGGTTGAGGTGGGTCTTGATTTAGATTGAATCTACGATTTGGTTTCGTGACGGAGGTTTGGTTTGTCATGATGTGTCGGCTCAGCTAATCTACTAACAACGATAGCTCTCTCTCTCTCTCTCTCTGTTTCTCTCCATAGAATAATAAACATAGTGGCCCTCCGGTTTCCAACATAGAGATATATTAAATTGGCAAATGGCAATGGGATTGCAGGAGGAGATATTTGATTGATTCTTTATGTCTGCATGTCTGCAGTTGCTTGATCTCCACGATAATTGATTGTAGAGAGGTATGATGTGTGCAACCTGCCCGCCGGCCGGAAGTGTTTGGCCCATCCCTCCTTGTCCTTTAATATTAACAACAGTAAGCGCTTACAGGATGATGAAATGGTTATGGTAGTGTCTCATCACTGAGAATTGTGATGTCGTAATGTCTTTGCCATGTTGTGTCTGGCGGGTTATCTATATATCCCCCTTCCCATTACATCTGTCTCATGACAAGGGTAGAAGCAGAACAGCAGTTGAACAAATTCATGGATTGGGAGACAATGGTTTATATTGTATGGTCCCACAAACATACAAACCTGTACTATTGGTTGATGATCTGCTTCCTTTGTTGCCACTGATCGATTCAGTTAACCTTACCAATCCTCAGGCGGTGGACAGTACTGGAATCCTTCCTCTTCCCTCAAAATTTAATTGATGTGAACTCATTGGAAAGACAACGACCCTCAGTAAATTAAGTAGCGTTGTGTAGAGTAGAGATCGATGACCATTTCATTAATTAATAACTAAGAAACAGTTGATTCTGTCTGGGAGACAATGTACTACTACTACTACCCTCTTGGTCTCGTGGGCTAACATGTTTTAGTTAATAGTTTTGTTTATTGTATGTCTTGGATTGGATCTCATATGTCAACAAGAGTTTGAACTAAGACAGTGAACCAACATCACCCACTATTTTTGAGTTAACAAATCAGAACCATATCAGTACTGTTAGAAGATGAAGACGTCGGGATGCTTTCTGCTGTCCTTCAATTCCCCTTGTCACAGAGTTCTCTCTCTCTCTCTGTATATATATGTATATTTGGGCGCTACAAAGTGAAGTGGCCTTTTGAGTTGAGTTGCACATCGATCGAGTGACACATCTCCTTTGTTTTGGGCTAGCTAGCTAGGAAGAGAAAAATCTCATCCTTTTACCCTTATAGCGGAGTATGTTTGTTTTGAAGGAAAAAATCTTTAAAAACCTTATAAAGGTTTCCCTATCTTTCCCTAGTTTTTCCTTCAAACCAAACATAGCCTTAGAGTGGATCGGAGAAGAAATCCCTTCATCATTATCGTCGTTGAGCTGCAAACTGTGTTGATGATTTTGCTAAGCTATACGATGTGATGGGTGGATCTCTAAGGCTAGCTGGTGGATGCATATGCCACTATTTATTGAAGAGAGGAGCAAATGACTTGGGAGGTGTTTGGTACCATAGATGCCCATTCCCTTCTCTTCTGGAATGCACCACATGAAAAATATATGTTCGTTTAGAACGAGTTAATTAGGTTGGTTCAATGCAAGAATGCATAATATTGCAGATATTGGAATCTACCAAATTCTTGCTTCCATAATACACCACACCATATCTATATTTCAAAATCCTGATACTTAGAACATTATCAAAGATGTGGTGAGTTCCAAAACCTAACATTTCGAACACACTAACAGGGCCAATAGTACAACACATCACAGTTTTTATGTCACAGTACCAAACACCCCCTTAGCCAACCAAGTTGGCACATAAATTAAAAGGCCTCTATTCCAAAAGGATGATCAAGTCCCGTTTCTTCTGTCTCACACCAAGGTCACGGCACTTTTGTTCAATGTTCAGCCAAAGACAACGTTAGAGTGTATATTATTGTCATTTTGTATCCTGGCTAAGGCTGAAAGCGCTTACACAAATTAATATTGCTAGCGCGCTGCATGTATAGCGCACAACAGGCAGAGTAAGCCCCATGAGAAAGCAAAAACAAAATGAAGGACAACTTTTGTCCCACCATGTTTGTACCTTGTTCATTAGATGAAGCTAATAATTAATAAACTGCCTGCTAGCATTTTTTTGGGGGGATGAGAAAAAGGGTCCATCTGATTGGCAGTCAAAATCAGAATCGGAATCAAAATCTATTGGAATTGGAATGGTCTACTTTCATTGTTTATTGTTTGTTATTTTGTTTAGTTCAAATGGAAACCAGAATGGGAATTAAAATCAGCTGGAATAAAATTTCATTCTCAAGGGGGAGGGGGAGGGAATGACCAGACCATTCCACCAGAAATGGGAATGGAATTCTAATATAATTCTGCCCAATCAAACACTTAAAATTGAAATGGCCAATTTTAATTCGGATTGTAGAATACATACGGCTATTCTCATGAACCAAAAATGGGCCCCAAGAAACTAAGAGCTTGTTCTTTTGTTCTAAAAATCTGACATTTGAAAGTGCAATAATTATATGAAAAGGTATATTAGTACTGTTGAACTTTTCTTTCTCTCAATTTAAATGCAAAGAACTGAATTCTGAAAATTATCAAATATCTATTTTAATCCTATATATGAGAGTTTTTGTTTGCTTTTTTGGAAGAATAATTGAAAAATAAAAAATTGTATAATTGTATTTTAAAAATTAAGAGATAAAAAGAAACAAACAACCATTTTTCTCTTAAAATTAAAAAATTCCTCTTAGATATAAGAATTAAGAGAAAACAAAGAAACCCTACAGTATTGATATTGCTAACCGAATCGAACTTATAAATTAGTTTTGCCATTTGCCAAAACGCCTAAAAAACAGGCGTTTGTTAGGACGGAGCTATCATAAAGTTGGAGCTGCATCAACGTACATATCTACATCGACTAAACAATGTGATGGCCAGTGCACCGTACACGTCAAAGTTCTGTTAAGGGTCTGTCGGGGAGACACGGTGATATCAGCACACATGGTTTTAATATATGCATGCATGGTTCGACCAATAATTATAAGATTTGGATCAACCGCAGAATCTCTCGCTTTCAATCATATTGTTTAACGAAGCTAAGACAATTATACAGAGGGTGTCCCATTTACAGATCATTAAGTTCTGAACTACATCCTAATTTGACGTTGACAAGCGAAGCCATAATACGACTTCCATCGCTTTTTTGATGATTGCTATAAGAATTGTTCATCATCCGTTGAGGATTTTCAAATTAATTTAGCAGACCCATCGTTGAGATTGAGCCAAGCGTGGCAGCAGAAAAAAGAAAAAAAAAATATATATAGAATGATTGGCTCAATCCTGATGGCGAAGAGTCCATGCCGCCATGTCCGTTCTGCAAGCTTTCCCTCTGTGTCTCATCCTCTAATGTCAAAGATTGAGAAGAAGCTGAAGGAATTGAGGGGTGACTGGGGAGCGTTGTCTTCGTCTTCTCCTTCATCATTGTCCCATCGCACAGTGGAATCACTGTGCAACGGCCTTACTGGTCTGGCCGACTTGCTTGAAAGCATTGAGAAGTTGCTTCAACCGCCGTTCGCCTGCCAGGCAGCTTCTGCACTAGTAGTCCATGGCCAACAACCCCGCTGTAAATGGGTGGACGAGGTGTTGAATGGATCTCTGACGCTACTGGATGTGAGTGGCACCATCCGAGACGTTTTGTTGCAGATGAAAGAGCAGGTGCACGGCATTCAGTCGGCACTCCGGAGGAGGAAGAACATTGCCGAGTTTCATGACTTAGAAAGTAGCATTGTTTCATACATGTCCTGTAGAAAGACAATGAGCAAGGTGATACCCAAGTGTATGAGCCATTTGAAGAGGATGGAGAAGAAACATGGCTCGTCTCTTTCAGGCGACGACAGCCATGAGATTGTGGTTGTGGCTGGTATTCTGAGAGAAGTTGAAGGGCTTTCGCTCATTATCCTTGACTCGCTCTTGTCCTTCATAGCCGGCCCGAGGGCAGCGCCGGCCGGTTGGCCATTGGTGTCGAAATTGATGCACAACAGAAGAGTACTGGGAGTGGCGTGTGATGGGCAAAACGAGGACTACGCCAATGAAGTAGAGAAGGTGGATGCTGCATTGTGTGGCCTCGTCAGTGGTGGTCGTAGGTCATCGTCGTGCAAAGATAATGAAGCGGTGGCCATGCAAGATGTGCAGAAATGGTTGAAGGTGTTGGAGATGAGCGTCGGGGCACTTGAGGACCGTTTGGAATGTTTGTTCAGGCATTTAATCAAAACAAGGGTCTCCCTTCTCAACATTCTTAGCCAGTAATACCTACCAATTATATATATACATCACCCTCGCTATACTTTGCTTTAATTTCCTCCTAAATGTAGTCTGGGATCCCGTTATTACCAAGCAAATGTCAATTAATTACAACGCCTCTCCGCTTGAATCTTGATACGTTTTCTTTTTTTCTTCTTTTCATTTCCATGCCGGCAAATGTTTATTTATTTGCCTCCAATCAAAGTGCAATTTTTTTCTTGCACGGCCGGGTGGATAATATAATGTTCAGTTCACTACAAGTAGGGGTGTCAATTGGACCGGATTTGGTCCAATCTTATCCGGTCCCATATGAATTCATTACAAATAGAACAGGTCCAGTCCAAATTGGTTTTAATATAGATTTCTTCCGATCCAAACTTGTTTGGTCCATTAACACCTGCATTCTTATATTCTATCAATAGACTGGACTGGATATTGACTCAATCGGAACCCATCCAATATAAATACATTACAGATGGATCTGGTCAAATCCAATAAATATTTTTGGAAGGATCCAATTCAATGTCTTATTGGATCGTCCAATTCGTCCAAATTGAGTGATAGGTCTTGGGGAACACCAGTCACGTGTGGGTGGGGAAGTATGTATGATACAAACACAAGCTTTTTAGAAGCCAATTAAACTAATGAGTGCATGATAGGTATTTGGGTAATTGTCAAAATCAACAAATTAAAGCATTGCCATTTGGCGGCCCCATGTGTTTGTCTGTAGGCGTTGCTTGCTGGGTGTGTGAAACGTCTCAGACTCTCAAAATAAACCAATCCGAGATGGAGAGAGAGAGAGAGGAAGGAAGCGCCAAACTCTGTTTTAATTTACACAAGCATGTGTATTCACGTGGCATTGGTATTTTATGTTTCTCTCGATGTCATTCCCAGAAGCAACAAGTAGGGCTTTCAGGAGTTGAAAGCAGCTGCACGAGTGATGAAGTTTTTTTTTTTTTTTTAATCATATAAACAAGCACACGTGGATTAACTTCTTCTTCTTCTTCTAGTAATAATTAGGTTGAATCAAAAAGAGACCAGCTGTCAATATGCCAATTGTTTCCGGCATGCATGGTGGGAAGAAGTAGCGTTATATGATATAAAAATCATCCAGAAGATTTGCAAATAAATGGAAAATGATAAGATGATGAATGCCACGTAACTATGCTAGGGCAGATCAACGTGGTTCATTCAATTCCATCTTATTAAGCAATAAAATATGTGCCCGTCCTCATCTCTTGTCTGGGGGACATGTTGCCACTCTACTCGTGTGTGCACATTTTATATTTGATATTTTGATTCCTGAGCTTCATGGCCAAGTTTCACCACATGACAGCTTAAGTGTAGTTGGGACTTGGGAGGGTGAGATTCTTCATGTCTCCTCCTTACTCTTCTCTTCTTCTCCCTCTATGCCTATATATAACAAGGTTCCAAAGGTGGTGAGGCCACATATTAATCTCTCTCTCTCTCTCTGCAACATAGATAACTGGGTTTCTCTGGCCTGTTAATTAAAAGAGAAGATGGCTACCACCCTTGCAACTCCTACAGCGCCTTCTCATGCTCGTTCTACCAGTTTGCCTTCCACATCTCATCCTCTAACTCTTGCCGTTGAGGAACAGGTGCAGAGGTTAAGGGCTTCCGAAGCCCTATCCTCCTCCTGCTCATCATCACCATCATCACTCTGCCACAACTTGAATGGTCTCCATGACTTGTTCGAGTGTGTGGACAATCTGCTTCAGTTGCCACTCACCCAACAAGCTCTCTCCCACCCCAAATGGGCAGACGAGGTGTTGGACGGATCTCTCAGGTTGTTGGACATCTGTGGCACCACTAGGGATGTTTTGTCACAGCTCAAAGAATCTCTGCAACAACTTGAATCATCTCTCCGGAGGAAACGAGGCGGAGAATCTGGTTTGGCAACCCAAGTTGGTGCTTACATGACATTCAGGAAGAAGATTAATAAAACTATCCACAAATGTCTAGCAGATTTGAAGAAGATGGAGAAGCACACCTCCTCTGCTCTCTTCATTAGCAAAGATCTTGACCTTGTTGCCATTGTCAACGTACTGAAGGAAGTAGAAGCGATCACTGTCTCGGTGTTCCAGTCCGTATTGTCGTTTGTATCAGGGCCAAAGGCACAATCAAAGACCAGTGGTTGGTCTTTGGTTTCAAAATTGATGCAACCAAAGCGCATAGCATGCGAAAGGGAAGAAGAGGATGGCTGCAGTGAGATGGAGAAATTGGATGGTGCTTTGTATGCTCTGATCAACTGCCAAAAGTCATGCATGGGCAGCGGACTGCAGAACGCACAGAATCAATTGACTGAAGTTGAGATGAATATCCAGGGACTTGAGGATGGTTTAGATTGCGTCTTCAGGCGTTTGATCAAAACCAGAGTCTCCCTCCTAAACATTCTCAATCACCATTAAATATATATGTCCATTGGAAACTCCTTTGAGTTTTGGACGTCTATACATTTTTGTAGAATGATATCAAGTATATGCATACAATACGCTCATGAAAAAATTAGTATTCAAATAATGAAACAGAAAAGGATTCAATCTCAAATTTCAAATTGTCTATTGGTTAGTGATCTTTCTCTTTGTTCCCCCACTTTGGTTGATGACATAGAATAGAAAAAGCAAACTTCTTCCAAAGTTATATGACCTCATCAGTGGAATATTCAGTCGAGTTTCACCCAGTTTGGCCTTGTCGACCCATCTACTTCCATCGGCAAAGCCAGTCTGCACATTGATCTAACCCATGAATTCGGTTGCGTTGAGCTTAGTGTTAAAACCGTGTCATGGACTCACCTTAATCATGCATGCGGATTGCTGGATCTGGTTATGCTCTACCCTCAACAGAAGAACTTTCAATTGAATGATTACTCTAAATTATTGTTGTTGTAGTAGTTATTAGGATGATTTCTCCAGAGCAATTAATAACAGAAGTTCTTTAATTTATACACAGATCAGATCGATCAACCAAAGATGATTAATACAATATATCTCAACAAATTAAATAACAGGTCAACTACCATGATTAAGATCAGAAACATATTAAATCTGTAACATAGACTTATTTCAAGGCTGTCAAGATTCCAATTGTCTCCCTTTGGTTATAGGTGAGATCCATTCATACAACATAACCTTTTTGTATCGGTGTATTTAAGCATATCTAAATACATCGATATTGATACTATACGTCTATTGGCCCATGTCACATTATATGGCCTCTATGAAAACTTATGAGGTGGAGGAATCTATAAGAACCGCTTTTTTTTCTTAATTTCTTTCTTTTTAATGATCTTATGACTTCTTTCCTTTGGGTTTAATTCCGAAAGGAAGAAATGTACATAGGATTATATCTCTACCATTGAAGATATATAGTAATGCTATCTTGGTGGGTTCGCTTCACATTTCAGCGTGCCCAAATAATGAATTAAAAGCCAAGCCAGTTAATTAACCATCTGAAATACTGAATAGGAGACAAGGTGCAGAACGTTCATGTGCAGAATCTTTATGGTCTTTATAATTAAATTAGATATCTATATATATATATAGTTAGTTAGTTAGTTTAGGGTTAGTCCATTGTTTTGTTCATATTTAATTTAAACATTATGGAAGCATCATGGAACATGAAGCAGTTACATTTTGATATAATATATGATAACAATAATGTGGCAAAGGGAATCTCATTTTTTCTTCTCACATTTTATTTATTTATTTATTTGGGTAAGACATCTTCTCACATTTTTAAGACATATACTCTTCATTGTGGTCGTTTCCTGTTTTCTTAATTTCTGTCACAAAATGTAGAAATCCATCTGTTATTGTGATCTTTGATTTCAAATTTAATTTGGAAATCCGTCCTAGCTAGGAGACTAAATTTGGAAGGTAGAAAAGTAGGTTTCCATAATCTAGAAAGAAGTTGCCATTTCTTTTGTTTTGTGATCTTTTGCTTGTCTATTGCCAACATAAATTGTCGGATCCACATTCCTAAAAATGAAAATTAACAGACAACAAAGAACTTATTTACACCACTTTTCTCATTGTAACGCTAGCTAGAGTGATGGACTGGGTCATACTCTTCTCCATGGAACTTTAATGATCTGGTTAGGATTTAGGATTTAAGCCTCTAATAGATTTGACCAAGTGAACATATAATTAAAATAGATGGAAACTGTGTAACAAAAGAGCAGTATACCAATTTATATTGAAAATTTATCATATACACTTGTTTTAAGTTTTAACTCTCGTGTACATGTACAAGAAGGTACAGTAGAATCCATAGGCAGTTCCTTGAGAAAAAACTTGGGATGCCCTTGGGAGACTAGAGAAATAGATCTAGTATGGTATAGCTGAGACACAGCTAATGGTTCAGGACGTTGAGAAAGGAAACTCTTGTCTTCACTAAACTCCCAAAAATGTATCCCAATCCATCTTCAAGATCCTGAATGCTCAACTCCAGTGTTTCCAGTTGTTTCCGCACCTTCTGGACAATTTCACCATCTTTATTGCTTGGCTTCTGCCTGATGAGGTTAGACAGTGCAATATCCACTTCCTCCATGTCGCACCAGTCCGCATCTTCCCCTTCCTTTGCCACCTCACGTCTGTTGTACATCAGTTTGGAAACCAAGGACCAACCCTTTGACCTTGATAGTGCTGCTGGTCTAGATAAGAAGGACAAGAGGGACTTGAGGGTGGAGAGAGTGATTTCTTCCACTTCTCTGAGCACACTGACCATGGCAACAAGGTCATGGTCTTTGCCCAGGAGAGAGGACGAGGACGAGGTGTGTTTGTTCTCTGTTCTCTTTAAATCTCCTAGAGACTTATGGATGGCCTTAATCAGCTTCTTTCTGGACAAGGTGTATGTGGAAACATCATTTGCTATACCAGAGTCTCCTCTTTTTCTACGGATGGATGACTGAAGATGTTGCAGGCTTTCCTTCATCTGAAGAAGCACATCCCTTGTGGTACCACACACATCCAACAGTCTGAGAGATCCATCCAACACCCCAGTGGTCCAGCTTTCGTGCTGCTGACGGGCCAGGGATTGTTGGGTAAGCGGCAGCTGAAGCAGATCATCCACACAATCATACAGATCTTTGAGGCCACCCAGGTTGTGGCATATTGAAGACAGTGACGATGAGGAGGATGATTCTGAAGCCTTCATTCTGCATAACTGCTCCTCGACTCTAGCAGTGAGAGGATGCGATCTAGAGGGAAAGCTGATAGATCGAGCATGGTAACGAGTTTTCAGGTTGAAAGGAGAGGCAGCCATTTTTCCTTTAGGTTATTGAGCTAACACTGCAATGTTAGATAAGTCTTGCAGAGAGACGCTTACCCTTGGCAATCTATATATAGCTAGAAGAAAACAAGGAGCTAGAGACATAAGGAATCTCATGTTCTGTTCCTCATGTGGCTCAACTAAATGCATGTTCAGCGATGTTTGTTCCATATGTCCCCCAACTCTCTATCATCGTATTGAACTCAGAAGTCAGATCCTAACATACATATAATAGACTACTTATTATTGCTTGGGTGGTGTGACAACCTTGTCTCCCAAACAAAAAAGAAAAGATGTCGGTAGAACTGGCAAACATTTTTTAACAGACCATGTCTACTTCCCAAGAGTCTGATCTGATCTTCAACAAAACTTTTTCAGGGTCGTATTCACACTAATGTTACTCAACCCAACAAATTAAGCTTTAATCCCAACTGTTTGGCCGGGGTTGGGTTGGGCGCACATACCCTGTCTAACCATTGCAGTCTATCAAGAGCCATGTCTCAGATGTTTTAGCCCTGTTAGCTCCTCGTCTCTTGAACAAGGAAAGAGCATTAATATCTAAGCCAGCCATTAATTCATGCACAACTCTATTGTTAACTTTTTCTGTACAAACTGAATGGCTAAGATAATTATCACCAACAAATTAGATCGTTGAATTATATTAGGGTTGTTGTGGAACCAAGGGGACATAATCAGCCACTCCTAAGTGTACAGATGTTCAACAATTTAGAACACTTTATTAAGCAACCATTTCACATTTGTTTATAGGATATATATATCAATCTGTAACACCCTCGAATCCACGTGCACAGCAAGATCAAGATGCAGATCTTGATCTTATTGCCGGATTCTCAGTCGACAAGAAATTAGGATCCCACATGAATAGATAGATGGGTTTCTTATAAAAAATGTGAACCAGAACTAAAGTTATGGAGGGAGACGGTGTGGAGAAGTAAAGAATTCGGCCTTGTAAAATTTAATTAGATATGAAGCCCAATGTTGGGATTGAGATCACAAGTCATTGATTAATATCAAATTCAATTAGATTCCAATTGTTCCCAACATCAATTACATTATAGGGATTCACATCATAAACAACACAAATATCATTACAAAAATAAGAAGACATGTTAGATAGATGATAGAGCGTGGCAACTCCCAAATCCCAAGCACAACAACTTCACTTTCGCTCCTTTTAAACTGGAGAAAACGTTCTTATTAACATCTAATAACATGTTTGATGATAGGCTGAACAGATGTTCCCTCAGCCAGGTCTAGATGTTCTGTTACTTATGGGCTGAAATGTAGGGTAGGCTGAATAGGAGAGTTGGGATCTCCTCCCAACAAAATCTGCATGCCCCAACACTTCAACCCCAAAGGGAGGGATCCATGAGATACATGTGATGAGTACATCTCAAACATCTAGCCATCTAAGCCCATAAATAGCTTTTTGTTTACTTCCCTATAGCCATGACAAATAAAGGGGTAAATTAAATCTCAGCGTTTAAAATTTTCATTATTTTTCTAACTCATATAGGATTGAAGATTTGGTGGTGGTATTATTCAAGTATCATATCCATTGTTCCCATTCCATTTATAAAATACGATTACATTATAAATTTTGTAACCCGATTTGTTCAGTTCAAAAATTCACATAGGACAGACAGTAAAAGGCAAAAGAAAAAAGTGAATATTCACAATACTTGTGCTATATATAGCTAAAGAGTATATATCTGATTATATTTTAGAATGAAAATATATCATACAAATGCATGCCTCCTCTTGATTTCATGTACAAAGAGGTTACAAGTGAAATCCATCGGCTATTCCCTTGAAAAACACAGAATGCCAAAGAGAAAGAGAGAGAAAGAGTAAAGACTATATTGTATGAGTATTTGGAAGGATCCCCGAAGGCTTGTCTATCAGTGGTTGAGGATGTTGAGGAGGGAAACTCTTATTTTGATTAAACCCCGAAAAACGCATTCCAATCCATCTTCCAGGCCCTGGATGCACAACTCCAGTCCCTCCAATCCTTTCTGTGCATTTTGGACTACTGGAATGATGCATTTGTCTGTCTTGTGGCGAATGAGGTTACTCAGAGCAAAGTCTAACTTCTCCATTTCACACATGTTTTGATCATTGTCTTGCTCTGCTTGCACACGTTTGGTGGGCATTAATATCTTAGAAACAACAGACCAACCTCCAGCTGCTTGGCTAGACATAGAGGCCATGAGACTTTCAAACACGGAGAGTGTGATTGATTCCACTTCTCTAAGCACACGAACAATGGCGACAAGGTCATGGCGGTCTTTGTCTAGGAGAGAGGAGAAGCCACACTTGTTCTGGGTTCTCTTCAATTCTGCAAGACTCTTGCGGGTCTCCTTAATCAGCTTCTTTCTCGACAGCAAGTATGCGTTGACATCCTGGGCTAGAGCAGAATAATAATCTCTTCTTCTTCTTCTTCTTCTACGGAGGGATGACTGAAGCTCTTGGACGGATTCCTTCATCTGCAGAAGAACACCCCTTGTACTACTACACACATCCAACAGCCAGAGGGATCCATCCGCCAACACCTCATCGGCCCACTTAGCATGGGTCATGGCTTGTTGAGCGAGTGGTAGCTGAAGCAAATCGTCAATCCCATGGTACAAGCCTTCAAGGCCACCCAACAGTGATGACAGCGACGATAAGGAGAAAGAGGAAGATGACGATGATGGTTGCGAAGCCCTTAATCTGCACAGCTGCTCATCGACTTTAGCGGTGAGAGGATGCGGTCTAGAGGGCAAGCTGATAGAGCGGGCATGAAATTGAGCTTTGGCTTTTGGAAAAGCCATTTGTGTTTGTCAAAAAGCCTAGCCAGATATGGCAATGGTGCCCCAAAACAATATATATAAGAGTGAGGTTGAACCATTGAAGGGGGGGGGNCAAGAATCAAATATTCCATGGGACATGAGCTAGTCATGTGGCCTCAGTGTGGAATGGATTTAATTAATAAGATCAACAGAATAATTAATACATGAAACAATAAAAATATGATGCACACGAGTGGTCTAACGCCTTGTCTCCTAAGCAAAACGAAGGCAGCACCACCAACGCCGCTTTGAATTTTGATCATTTATTAATTGATTAGGGGCATCAAATATCGCGCAGATCTCAATGCAGTTTTAGGTGTGTAAGCTGCGCGGGTTGGGCCGGATTTGTGGTAAGTCCAGGCCCAATTTTAAGATTTAGGTTTTAAGACCCGAGCATGAATCAAGTTTGAGGTCAAATTCAAAATTTTCAATTCAAGTTTAATCTCTATTAGGCCGGGCTTAGGTTGGAACGAAATTGGGCCAGGCTCAAGCTGGGTTCAGGCTATCTAATATCTATCCCAGGTCTAACTTGAAAAATAGAAAAGTTTAAATTCTTAAGCCCAAACCCAATCCGAGAATTGAAAATTCAAAACCAAGCCATGTAAAAAAGTAGAGCTGAATCGGTTCGAGCTTGGATTGGGATCGCCCAAGTAGCGTTGTGTTTAAACGAGAAATAAAGGTTTAGATGAAGATGCATTGGGTAGGGAAAGAAGGGGACATCAGCCCACTCGTGCGTGGTAATTAACCAGTTTAAAATTAAAATTAAAATTCGTGAAATCCATAATGTTTTAATGCATGTAGGAAATGGAAGTGCCACGAAGCAACCAGAGAAACATGTCACATGGAAGAGTAGGTGTTGATGATAGGAAAAAGTGTGGCTCCTTGTTTGATGCAAGCGCCATTTACAAACGCGTTGTGGATGGAACTTCTCAAACTGATTACGTGTTCATTAATTGAAAGGTTTTAACCTTAAGGACACTTAATGATCTCCTAAATTTAAGGAACCAACATAAACTCATTGAGGATAATAGTTTAACATTGAAGTGGAGGCACCACCGACTCAATCTAAATTTGGGTTGTGTTCTACAAAGTTAGAAACGACATTTTTGTTTGGTGATCCAATCTATACCAAAAGCAAAGCAAGTTCTTCATGTCACCCTTATTTTTTTCCCCTTATAAGAATGGCAATGGGGTGGTGGGTATCATACTCCCTATCTCTGATTCCAATTTTGAAATAAATACCTGCCCCTTGATCCTGATTCTTGTTAGGCCCTTCCTTCTTTACTTCTTCCTCCATAACTCTTTCTCTCTCCTTCATCCTTTCTCTCAACAATTCAATTCTTAAAAACCTTCCTAAAATCTCTCTCTCTCTCTCTGTATCTCTTTCCAAACACATGCATTTAAATTAATTTTCATCAATGTATTTAAGGGTTCTAATATGATACTGGAGAGACACATGATATTTGAAAATTTTATGATTGATCAACAAGTATAAGTGGAATTTATCAAAATTCACAAGTAGGTTTTGAATAGTCAAAACTCTTTTGGTACCATGTCTTTCTCGCATCATAAAATTTTCCAAAAAATATTAACATTTAAGTTAAAACTTTTTCTAAAAATAATTAAGTTAAAACTTAAATATTGAAATAGATGAATAAAAAACAATTAAAATACTAATAAGGGAAAAAATAGATAATACAATAAGACAAATAATAAAAGTAAAGTTATAAAATCTAATAATTAACTAAAAATCTTATTATAATTATAAAAATATTTTAATATTATCATTATACAATCTATCTCTCTCTCTCTCTCTCTCCATGAGACGTTTTGGGCCCCATGCAACAAAATTTGTATTGATGTTGAAATTTGGTAAACAACAGGAAGATGGGTCAAGAAAATACAAATTTTTGGTTACCAATTTGAATAAATCTTGATTGATCCACTTTGGTTTACCAAATCTACTATATAAAGTTTTAGAAAATATGTCTCGAAAATAAATATTAGAAACACTATTAAATTTACTATTAATTAACATATTTTTGTTAAAATACTAATTTCACTATTAATTAAATTTTGAATAAAATGTTTTTCTATTATATTTCAAAAAATATTTACTAAAATTCACTATAAACGTTTTCTATAAATTATGTGAAAATTCACTACTAATTTTTTAAAAATATTTTTTGTGAACATGAATTGTATCCTTTATCTTATAGCTTCATTCCAACAAAGATACGTTTTAGAAGCATTGAGTGGTAAATCGAATGGATTAAATTGATCAACCTACAAAGTCATATTTAGGTAATAAAATTTTTAAAATAGAAATAAATAGAAAAAATTAGACACATTTATAATATTTTATTAATAAAATGAAAAAATAAGTGTAATAAAAAGAATTATTTTTATTGATAATGGAAATGGAATACATAATATAGAACTGACCAAAAATGAAATATAAAAATTAATAATAAATAGTTCAACTTTTGGGTTAAATTTGTTAGCCTTTAATGGTATAAATAAATAATAAAATTAATAAAATATAAAAATACAAAGAATGAAAAAAATACATAAGTTTTGAAAAATAGCATTCAAGCACATTTATAATATCATATTAAACAAAACGTCAGTGTGATATAACAAAATTATTTTTATACACAAAAACTTGTAGAAAAAATTGAACATGTCTATAATTCTACATTTACATTACTATTAAAAATATGAATAAGATTTTAAAACCTTCTTTTGACTAAAATACTAATTTTTAAATTTAGTCCCTATTTACTTATAAGGTTTAAATTATAAATTGAACTACTACTTTTCACCTCCTTCAAGTTCCTTAATTTATTTAAATCTTACATTCTTTTGATAAATGGACAAAAAAGAAAGATACATCAAAAAGATATATGAAACACTACAAAAAGAAGAGTGTAGCTAAGCTGGTAGGCCTGTCAATGATACTTGAAACTTCACATATTGAATTATCACATATTCAGATGATGTGTTCATATGATCAAATTTGAGATTTTGTGATCTGCAACTGGTTATAATAAAAAAACAAAAAATATAAAAATGAAAAATAAAAATACATAAAATTTATAGAAAGTTTTGAATATATTATTATTACTATCATTATCATCATCTAGAATTGTCATATGTAAAGCATGTGCCTGCTTACCCTCTATTTCTTTGTTTAAAAAAGGGTATAAAAGCTCTTTTATTATAGTTTTAATGCCAACTTTAATGGCTCCTAAAATGCTTATACTTGTATATTTAGTCCATCTCTAATTGTAAGGGTTGAAAATGTAACTTCAATTATTACTTTCCACATCATTTAAGCCGCTCTTATTAACTCTTATACTTAAGGCATTAGCTCACATTTTCTCTTATTAAATCCTATATTTAAATTAGTTTTTACTAATAAATGCTACCAATTGGATGCATGTCAATATTTTTAACAATATAAACATATATATTTTAAAACTAACTCAAAAACAAAACCATTCTTTATCCAAGTGGTGGCTAAGCAATTCAACCATCCAAATCAAATTGATCAACTTATGAAGTCATATTTAGGTAATAAAATTTTAAAAATAGAAATATAAAAATATAGAAAATTAGACACATTTATGATATGTTTATTAATCAAATTAAAAAAAATAAATGTAATAAACAAGAATTACTTTTATTGATGATGAAAATAATATACATAATTTAGAACTGACCAAAAATGAAAATATTTTACTATTTGGCAAAGATCAATAGTTCAACTTTTGTATCAAATGTGTTAACCTTTAATGTCATAAATAAATAATAAAATAAAAAATAAGAAAATACATAATTTTTACAAAAATAACATTTGAGAACATGTATAACTTTATATATTTATCATATTAAACAAAAAGTAAGTTTGACATATTAAAATTATTTTTACACATAGAAATACAAAAACAATTATAAAAAATTGGACACATTTATAATTCAATATTTACATTACTATTAAAATATGAATAAGATTGTGGAATTTAATTTTGACTAAAATACTTATTTTTGAATTTAGTCCTTATTTAATTGTGAGATTTAAATTGTAAAGTGAATTTCTACTTTTCACCTCATTCAATTCACACTATTTAAATCTTACACATTTTTGATAAATGAACAAAAATAGATACATAAAAAAGATAAAGCATTACAAAAAGAAGAGTCTAGACAAGCAGGTAGGCCTATTAATGATGCTTGAAACTTTACAACTTGATCTGATTATCACATATTTGGATAAAGTGTTTATATAATCAGATTTGGATTTGGCAATTTGCATCCGATTACTAATTAAAAATAAAAAATAAAAAATATATAAAACTTGTTGAAAATTTTAGATACATTATTATTATCATTATCATCATTTAGAATTGCCACGTGCAAAATAGTTTAAGTAGCTTGGACTTGGTATAACTTGGCCTAATTGATATTGTCATTAAGCTCATACTACAACTTTTTCTAACAACACCAGTGCAATGGATGAGGCCCGACTAGTACCCAATATTACACAAAGTGAAAGCATGCCATGCACAAAATCCCATTTTAGCTTATAAATCTCAATTCATTTAATAAAAAAAATATTCCCAATTATAAAAAAAAAAAAATTAGTCAAAAGCTTATAAAAAAGTTCATTACCCTATGTTTTCCGGGCTCAATAGAAATGATTTAAGGATAAGTAGACTGCACTCCACCTCAGAATTCTGAATTCTATTGCAAACCTACAACAATTCAAAATTTCAAATACCTCCACCTAAACGCCAATACCCACCCGTGTATTGACATCAATTCTAAGATGACACCTATCCCAACTGTACGGTGGAGATACGATTTGTAGGGGTGGACTAAACAGTAAAAACCCAAATGATTTATTAAGTTTGTTTTTTGGTTTAAAAGAAAAGGTAAGAAAATGTAAGAAAACCTATAGAACATTTATATATATCGATCGGCATTACACCTTGTGTATGAGAGGGAGGCTTTGCATGAAGGTTGGCCCTAACTATGCCTGTTTACAACCAATCCCATGTCTAGGTTGATTGAGCTATTCCTTGCCAAAACACTAAGGTGTGTTCAACGCCTAATAGTTGCCCAGTCAAGTCTACATCGGCATAATCCCCCTTTGGCTTGTAAACAGTACTCCCTTGAAATGACACGAGGTAGAGAAGAGCTTTGTGCCATATGCAATGAGGTTATAATCTAGTGCCGCTGACCTTTTGGTGGAGCCATCAATGGCCTACACTTGACCTTTACAAAAGGCCTTGTATAGGTCTCTCCACCTTTTGTTTTGAACCAAACACAACTTAAAAGGTTATTAGAAAAAAATTGTCATATAATATCGTTTAGCTGCATAGAGGTTTGACTTGAATAGTTAAAATCATGAATATGCCTCTTCAACCGCTCTTGTGATTCATAGGATTCGACCCTTTATATGCCCAGTATATGGTTGAAGTCATGGGCCGGAGTATGCCTAGCCAATCCAATGGGATGAACAAACTCACTTTTTATGGTGAAGTGTTGTAGATTTTTACATCATTTTTTACTATTTTCAGTTCTTATATATACCTATATATCGTTTATGAGTCTCCATAAATGTTTCAACATCAACCTTTGATTTCACTCGCCTTTACATCTTAATTCAAAGTCTTTTCTTTGGGCTTAGTAATCTTCTTGATTTGCTCAATTTCTTTAACTCTTCCTAGGAATTGAGTTTGTTGTTGCTAAGGATGGGCTGAGGGCAATAAGGTAAATTTGTTTCCTTAGCCGAGGCCGATGTATCCAACCTGAAAGCAAGAAATCACATGTCAGAGGCCCCGATTGTTATTCCGAGGTGGAGATTCCAACGGTCAAGTTAGTCAAGCGTGTATGAAGGATTGGACGAGGTCCGAGGTAAGGGCTCAGACGAAGTCACTCGAGAACAAGAGTGCTCAAGAAGAGTGAGCAAAATGGTTTACCTAGAAAGGGGACACCCCTATTTGTACTTAACCTTACCTTGGGAGTGGTTGGAGGTGATTGGCAATGGGTGGCAGGAATTGCATCCGGCCGATACCACACGGCACCATCCTAGGCGTTGCCACATGCGCCTATATCAAAGTTGTATTAATTTGATATTTCGGAATTGATTGAACCAGTGATAGATATGCCTCTTTTTCACCTTCTTACTACACCTTTCAAAGCTTCAGCTCTTCTCTTCCTTATGCGTAACCTGGAACCAAAATATTTATTATTAAAATCCATTTGTTTAAGGCCTAGGTATTATTATCCATCAGTTTTGATGATTTTTGATAATTAATACGTTGTCCTGATATTGCTGCAATATCTTCTAGCATTTCATCTTTTAGATTTGGCAAATAACAAATGTGAAATTGATGAAACCCTTCTTACTAGTCTTATTCCTTGTACATTTTTCTTCACTCCCTCTCTTTTAGATATGGTGATATGGGGTCTCCATCACTTGGTCCTCTCAAAGTAGAAAACTTTGTTTCTGCATTCCCATTCAACATGATCGAAAATGATGCGATCGTTAACTCCTCAATCATCTCTCTCCATTGACTCGAGAAATTCATTTTGTCCAAGGTAGTAAGCAAAAACCTCCAGCCTTTCCGACTATAGGCCTTTAGCCATTCTCAAGTTCAAATTCATATTCAGAGTTGTCAATGAACCAGATGTTGGTCCAATCCAATCTGATCCAATATGAGTTCATTACAAATGGATCAAGTCCAACCCAGTCTGATAAATCTTTTGGATAGGACTGATCCAATTCAATGTCTTATTAGACCATTCAACCTGTTCATATTGGTTTTAATTCAGATTGCATTCGACCCCAAACTTGATTCATTGACACCCCTACTCTTATCTTCTGTCAATGGACCAGACATTGGTTCAACCTGACCCAATCTAATATAAATCCACTACAGATTGATCATGTCCAGTCCAATGCAATTAATAATTTAGACCATTAAGTCTGGTATAGCCCAATACTCCAATTCAATATGTCTTATTGGACTGTCCAATCCATTCAAATTGGTTATTGGTTTTGATTCGGGTGGATCCAACCTAAACTCGGTCCATTTAACACCCCTAGGTATTATCATAATTGCCAATCCAAGATTTTATCATTACGCCAATTAATGGGTCCTCTAATCCAACATCAAGTATAGGACCATAAACCCTAAACCCAACTTCAATATTCCCCATCTTTGCTTTACACTTGATGTACCCCATCTCCATAATTCCATCCCTTACTGTTTCTGGTCATGGTGCCGACCCTGTATTAACAAAATTTGTACTAACATTCTTCTTAGGATGGAGTAGATGGACTTACTCATTGGATCTTCTGGATTGACTATCCTGTGGACCTGGGCCTGATGGACTTACTCAGAGAGTGGATGGGCGTGGACTTATCTTTATTATAAGTCCATTACAGGCCTACTACACTTTTATGATATAATTTTGTTTTTCTTTCTTTATGTATATTTTTTAATGTTCTCCTTATTTTACTAATCTTCCTTTATTTGAACAGCGTCAATCGTCCTGTCATTTTTGCAACGTTGTGTCTGCACATTAGGCAACAACAAATAGACCACGGCATAAAAAGATGGTTAATTCAATTCCCCCAAAACATACATGGGAAAATCTATGATGCCGGAAAGATATAATATCGGAAAGGATTTGATCAATAATTAGAGCCCCAAAGGGATTTCCTACTCATTTTTCCTATCCAATCTAATTGCAGTCATATATGATTTGAGAGATGTGTGACTGCAATTCATGGTGGGTAGAGAGTGGGTAGGAAAAATGAATAAAAAATCTGGGTTGATCATAGCCTCTATCCCTGTATTTTGAACTTTGAAGAAAACCCACATGATTAATTACCACTTTTCTGATCTCCATTGAATGGTTATAAGTTTTTTTAGGCATCATATTCGAATCCCTTGCTCTTTTAACACTGCCTAATGCAATGCTCAACAATTCCATGTGGGGTTGCCTGCCTGCCTGCACGGTCCATATAGTCTAGCAATGGGGAGAAATTCAAACAGCTAAAAGCTAAGCATTTACGTATATTGGTTGCATCATCATCTACGTGGGTTTCTGATTGTTTAATAAAGGTCTTAGGAGCGTTTGTTTAGCAGCTAATAAATGACAGTCGTGCAGAATATCATTTGAGGTGTGAAGAGGGGGATTAAGTGCAATAAAAAAGAAAAAGAAAAAATAAAAGCTTCATCTAGAATTCAATTTAATTTGCGTGGATTACACGGTTGCTTTGATTTAATGGTTTTACACTTTGGGACTTTGACAATAATGAATGAACTACCAAAACAGATTATGTACAAGCGACATGCCTATTAATTAATTGTCCCCCACGCCAGTATTAAATATTGAAAACTGGGGTAGTCTTTGCAATCAGGGATTGATAGGAATTGATTTCTGTTTAATGGTTTTTATACAAGAGACTCAACTCTTAATATATCCCTTCTATCACATAAATATGTGGTTGAAATTTTCCAATCAAACCCGAAGATGAGGATCATATAGTTGTCATCGTTTTTGGTTTCAACATATAATGAATGGGGTATGCATACCCCTTACACCCATGGAATATTAAGTTTCACTGATTAATGGCTTACAACTATTAATTTTGCTACATTTTATGTTTAGGTTAAAGTCGGAATACATGTGAAACAAAAGACAAATTATATATAAACAACAAATAAATAAATAAAATACCATAAACAAGCAGCAAAGTTTTTCAATAATTTTCTTCACATAAATTCAAAATATTGTTACATTTAACGCCTAATACATAAAATTCATATGCTTTCTTACGATATGTGAATCGTAAAAGATTGGATTGGGCCGAATAAAATTTAATAAAATTTATTGGGGCAGGTAGGCGGGTCTCACCAAAATAGGGTAGAAATTGCATCTTTTTGCCTTCCTTTTGATAAATATTAATAAAATTTAAGTTGGTCGCCCTCCATTGGAGTAAGTTTTGAGATTATCGGGTTAAATAAAAAGTTTAGGATGATCAGAACATATAATTGAACATACAAGGTTACATTACACGCCATTGAAGTCGTTGCTCCCCTACCGTAGACCACCGTCGTTAGGTAAGGGTCCACCAATTCAACATGATGGAGGAGGAACTTGGGTTCCTATTTAAAGGGCCCTCTGTTCTAATATGCAATGCAGCTCAAGTATGTACACCATGAGCAAGTGTTTGATCATAGTGGTTCTCTTGTGTTTGGCCTGCTCCCTCTTGGGAGTTTTGGCAGAACAATGTGGATGGCAGGCTGGGGGAGCTCTTTGCCCCGGCGGGCTTTGCTGTAGCCAATATGGCTGGTGCGGCAACACCGATACTTACTGTGGGGAGGGTTGTCAAAGCCAATGCAGAAGCGGTGGCGACATCACCTCTCTCATCACTAGGTCTCTGTTCGATGAAATCCTCAAGCATCGAAACGGTGGAGGTTGCCCAGGAGGATTCTATACCTACGACGCTTTCATAGCCGCTGCGCGATCCTTTACCGGCTTCGCGACAACAGGTGACACCACCACTCGCAAAAGGGAGATAGCAGCTTTCTTGGCTCAGACCTCTCATGAAACCACAGGTGGGTTAACGTTGTTGCTCCAGATCGAATCCATACTTATTGGTAATTAAAAACAGTGATTCATTATTTGATTTGTTGATAAAAAAAAAATCAAAATCAAAATCAAATGTGTACAGGAGGATGGGCAACTGCACCAGATGGCCCTTATGCTTGGGGCTACTGCTTCGTACAAGAACAAGGCAATCCCGGGGATTACTGTAGCCCTACTCCACAGTGGCCATGTGCTCCCGGCAGGAAATATTACGGCCGAGGACCCATTCAAATCTCATAGTAAGACTCTCTCTCTCTCGCTCTCTCTAGATCTCTCTCTGCAAATAATGGAATAAAGAGATCGAAGTAAATGTGTTGAACATACATTATTGACTGGTGCGGTGCAGCAACTACAATTACGGGCCAGCAGGAAGAGCCATAGGAGTGGACCTCCTGAACAACCCTGATCTGGTGGCCACTGATCCGACCATTTCATTCAAAACAGCCATCTGGTTCTGGATGACCCCTCAATCCCCCAAACCATCATGCCACGATGTGATAACCGGACAATGGASGCCAAGCGCTGCCGATTYGGCTGCCGGACGAGCCCCGGGCTATGGCGTCATTACCAACATCATCAACGGAGGAATTGAATGCGGCAAAGGTTACATCCCACAAGTTGCTGACCGCATTGGCTTCTACAAGAGGTACTGCGACATTTTAGGGGTGAGCTACGGTGATAACCTTGACTGCTATAACCAGAGGTCTTTCGGTCTGTCTGCTGATCATCTTCTGGCTACAGCCTAATTAACTCTATACATGGTTTGAGCTTCTCTATGTAATAAGCATAGCCCATGCTTTATTTTCCTCAATAAATAATTAAATAAAAATAAAATGCTGATGAACAGTCATCGTCATCATCATTTATCACCAAGTATATGGTTGCTACAGCCAACTATATATATGAAGTCGGCCACTTGAATTCTGTTCTGTTTAGTTTTATTTGTCTGACCGCTTAACTTGCAATCAATTATGAAATCCAAGTTTTACAATGCTCTAATGTTATTTGACTGGTCTTGACTGTTCCAAGGGGACGACTACCTTCCTCCTTGCTCTTGGGATCTAAGGTTGTCCTAGTTAATTAGATTGCAACAAAATGGCGTCAATACTGGGGATGTAAAACTTATTGGACCAGATTGGAATTGGAGTATATCCCAATCCAATCCAATAATATAAATCTTATATCGAATCAAATCTTATAAAGTTCAATTCGAATTTAACAGTTAAATGATATCGGATATGTGAATCTAATCCATTCCAATTTAATTTCTACAAAATTTAACATATTATTCAAAGGAAAAAAAATAACTTTCTATATATATAAAGACAAATTACAAAAAAAAAAAATGTGCCAATATTCAGTATCTTGTATTTTGGGCCTAGTGCCACTTTGGTCCTCAAACTTTAAAATGTGCCAATATTCAGTATCTAAACTTTCAAAATGTGCCAATCTATAGTACCTGTTGTTAACTAGCTTGTTAATCAGTCGTTAACTGAACAAAACTAAGAAACTAAGGTTATAGACAAAAAATACATTTTGAAGTTGCCCTATAAACCTTAAGATTTAGAGCTTCATGATAGAAAGAATGAAAGCAAAATTTAAACTCATGGAAAATGTAAATGGGTGTAATAGATCAACCAAGTAATCTATTACACAAACAGAAACTAATATTTAACTTCATGTTTGAAATGAATATTGATCTTGCTTGAAGTGGTTATCATGCAAGCTAGGTGGTCTATAACGTTATTACTCCACATATGTACAATATTGTCGCCTACTTATGTTATAATACTATCTCTTGTACTCCACATAGTGCTGGTAGTGTTCACTGGGGAATATATCGATTCTAATAAAATTTCATGTCACTACCCATGGAAGTGGAAATGGGAATATGTTGTGCAGATAATCTCTTGTACTCCACATAGTGTTGATAGATTTGAAAAGACACAAATGCCCTTCAAGTGTTATCTAATTCTATTTATCAACCATTCAAACATTGACAAAAAAACTGAATAGTCCCAAATCCTTGCCTCTTCTATTCAAGAAAGTTGGGGTCACCAGAATGTCCACGTTGACGTGACTCTAACTTTCTTGAATAGAAAATGCAAGGATTTAGAACTGTTCATTTTTTGTCAACGTTTGGATGGTTGATAAAGAGAATTAGATGATATTCAAAGGGCATTTGTGTCTTTTCCAATGCCACTTAACGGTTGGTTAACGACATGCAGTAGATTGACACGTTTTGAAAGTTCAGGTATTGAACTGTCGCATTTTAAAGTTTGGGGACCAAAGTGGCACTAGGCCCAAAGTACAGGGTACTAATTGGGGATTTTCCCTAAAAAATACAAACATCTTTTCAATTATTTTTACCATATATATGCATGTCTTTTTATAAAGCATAATATAAAATAAATTACAAAAATGAAATACAAACATATTTATAAATAAATAAATTATAAGAATGTAGGGAGTCCGCCAGTCCGGATCACCTGCCAACAAAACACGTCCTAACCCTCTACGAACATGATCTTACACCACATCTCATACATGGTGGGTCCCTCTTTTATGGTGGGTCCCAGTCTCACGGTGAAATGTGCAACGTTAGATCAAGTTGGCAGAGTGTTGGAATGTGTTTTATTGGCAGAAAATCTCAACTATGTAGGATTGGAGCAGATTGGATTCATTCAAATCTGATAAGGGATTAACTGAATTTGATTTGATCTAATCTGAAAATCCGATACAGAATAATTAAATTTGGCAAAATAGAATTGGATTCAAATTCGATGATCTGGTCCACAAGTTAGCTGAGATGAATACACCTAGCCCATGGATGTTTATATTTGAGACTAAAAACGCAACGGTCCAGGCCCAGGCACATCTGCCATGTATGCGATGGACCTAAGTGACTTGATGCCAAGGCCTAAGAGTAAGGGGCTCTTTGATAACAACTGAACTGGATGAATGAATCAACCATGGAGGAGGTTGTGAACTCCTTAATAGCTGAAGCTGAAGTTGAGCTTATTATTGCCCATTATAAGATAAACCATTAAGTCATTCAGTTCAGCCAACTTGGTCTGTTATCAAATGACCCCTAACATTTCTTCTAAACTAAGCTGGCATTTGGCAACCTCTGGTTAGTTGTAGTAGAAACTTGGGATAGAATCCCATTCTCACCAGGAATGGGAGGTCTAAGGGTTTGAGGGAGGCTACCTCTACTCTTGTTGTTTAACCCATTACCCAAGAAAAGAATAAAATCTGTATAGTTAGGCTTGTCAATTATACCTAAAATTCTGCGCCTGATTCAACATCCAATTCAATTATTTCATATTGGGATAAAATAAATACAATTTTGAATCGGATTCAAATGGAAGAATACATTCTAATTGAAAATTGGATCGGATTCTGATGTATTCCCATCCAATCAAATAAAAATCTAACTTCAATATATAATTATATATTAATATACTATATATCAAAGCCTTTACACTATATTTGATTTAAAGAAAAAAGTAGAAAAAGATGGAGAAACATAGGGAAACCTATACATTCCTAGCTTTAATTTAATGTATTTAATACATAATCGGGCTTCTGAGCAAGACATATCAGAATCAAAATTGGATGCCTTATTCATACATCGGATCGACTTTCGCATGATGCCATTAATATCTTATCGCATTAATTGTGCTCGGACTAAGTTGCATCCAATGCGATTACAGAACTATGTATAACTGTTTGTCGACTTTAGCAGTGTTGCCCTTTAGCTGCTGAGGGGGCTGTTGGAAATGTCCTTGGATATGAAACCTTACCATGTATGTGGGGTAAAAGAATACTTACATATAATATTCCTTTGACCAAAAAACAAGGACTAAATGGCTTGTGATGATCAAAAATGGTCCCAACAGCCGAAGTTTATCACATTTAATTTTGAAAAGGGGTTAAATACTTAAACCATCCTTATAATTTAGGAAATGGATATATATATATATATATATATTCATATATTCTATATTTTTTTAAATTACTCCTGCTTAGCTTGTAAGCTGTTTTACTGTGACAACATTGTTGATCTTCTCAACAGTTGTTGGATTTCCAGACCTTGTGTTAGTGAAACCACGTCCAGACCTTCCTGGTCTCCGAACACCATCTCCAAGATCTTCATCAGTAGACATTTTGTTCTTTCTCAAAGGCAATACTAGAATAGCAACCTTTTGAATACTCAATCCAGATTTCTCATCTATTTCACCAGCTAGACTTCTTTCCTTTGTTCTTGGTAGCTTGTTGCCATTGGGGAGAGAGATGAACTTGAAACCTTCATCATCTCCATGACCTTCAGTAAATGAAGTTGTAAATCTCTCAACCATTACCACAGAAAAAGGAAAGGAAAATAGACAGAGAAGTACTGCTCAATTAAATAAAAGAGCAGGATGGCTTACAATATCAGCATGGCACAAAACAACACAGAGCTTGAAGTTTTTATTTAATTCCCTTATTCAATAATATAGGTAATCTAGATGAAGCAAATGATACCGAAGACTGCATCAACAATCAATTTAATCCAAGAAAATATATAAAAGCTAGTATTAGCGGACAATTCAAAAAAACCAAAAAAAAAAAAAAATCATGGGTCCCTCCAGTTCAGGTTATTACTTGGTGCTCAAGTTGAGTGCTCAAGACAAATGAGATGCTGCATGGTTAGTGAGATGCGATGGCCCAAGTGAATAACAAACATAATAGAGGATGACACTAATTGCATATGGAACACGGTGATAGAGACCTTCTAAAAGTATTTTAGGATCATTAAACAGATCAAAGAGCTTCATTTTTGAAGTAGTTGTTTTCCACGAACATGTAAAAGAAGTTCTGACAATAAATAAAAGATTGTCAGATGTGGCCAAAAGTCAAAACTATCTCTCCCAATTCAACCTCTTTTTTTCGTCTTCATACATCTCTCTCTCCACCCTATTTTCCGTCTCCGCCACTGCAAGTTGCAGCGATGGTTCTCTCTCTTTCTCTCTCTCTCTCTCTCTCTCTCTCAATTCCTTGTCTTCCCGCCACTGCCACTGCAACTTGCAGCGGCAGCTCTCACTCTCTCTGCCATGTCTTCCTACCACCGCCACTGAAATATTTTTCTGAAAATGTCATATAGTAATTAATTACTGAAAATGTCAGAATAAATTGATATTTTAATTATTGTAATTAAAATATTTTTCTGAAAATAATTATTGTCAATTTTAGATAATAATAATAATATTTAATTAATTTCATATAGTAATAAAAATAATATTGAAAATTTTCATTAATATGTTCATTTAATAATATCAGTAATTATGGAAATTACTAATAATTACCAAATATACATTATCAATATTAAACTTTTCCAATAATTTTCCATTTTAATAATTACCAAAAACAAATGTAAATTTCTCCAATGTTTTAGTTATTAATGTTAATTATCAATAAATTTCATTAATTATTTGCATATAATTATGAGTAGTGAAGTACTGATAATTATCAGTATTTATTAACTAATGGTGATATCAGTAATAATTAGTTTAGTAATCTTTTACTAAAAATTATTACTAATAATTATTTTAGTTATTAATAATTTCATAAATTGTTTACTATTAATTATTGAAGTAATTGAGTAATGAAAATTATTAATTATTTAATTATTTCCCTAATAATTATTATTTTCTGTTAATTATTTAATAATAATTTATTTATTTCACTATATATTTAAATAATATCAATAATATTAGTAATTTCTATAAATTATCACTAGATTTCACTAATTATTTAATGGTAAAAATCAATTAACAATAATTATTATCAGTAATTACGACTAATAATGATTAACTATTATTGATAATAAATAATAATTATTACTTATTATTTTAATATTTCTAAATCAATTACTATTTAATATTTTTTTAATATTCAAAATCCAGTGAATGGTCCATTTCCGTGTGGTCAATTCGACTCGGGTTGGGTAGGACCAGATCGGTTAGATCTAACTTGGTGAGTTGACTCAGCTAACTCTCTGAGTTAACTCACAAAGTTGGTTCTGTTTCAATTTGCCTCGGTTGGGAGCGCTTTGGAGCAATAAAAATTATTATTCAAAATTCTCATACCTACCGCAATTTTCATTAATTCTATAATTTTGGGAATTTTGTGTTACTAAATTTTTTAATTTATTGAATTAAGTTTAATTTATCATTAACTAATGGAAAATTTATATTTTATAACAAATACTATTTCATTTTACAACGAAATTTGAATAATAATTTTTAGTAATTTTTGATTAACTACACTTTTCTAAATTTATAGTAATTTTTAAATTAAATGGGTCAGACTAAGACCCTAGCCAAACATATCAAAGATCCAAGCCGTTTGATTCTTCTTCTAGATCCGATTAACATCTACAGTAGCTAACAAAACAAATGTGAATGGATCAATAGAGTGGTGAGCCCCCTAATTTCGTTGGAGTAAGGACCTCATTAGTCATTACTTTACATGGTTTCAACTTTCTAGTGGCTGCTTTGAATATAGTATTTCAAGTGGACCTAAATTTTTGAATGGTTATATTTGATTCTTGTACCGAATCAAAGCTGGACCTATACATTACTCAATTACTCTGCCCTTTGATCGTCTATTCCTTTTTCTTAGGGTAAATTACAGATAAACACACTGTACTTTGGCAGTAGTGATAGATAGGTACTTTGAATTTTCAATTGTAAAATTTGAGAGTCCTGAGTTTTAAAAAATAGACACTTAGGGTCTGTTTGATTGCTGAGAAAAGTGGACTGAGAAAGGATGGGATGAGAAGAGGAAAATTTATTTTCTCAGTTAGTTATAATGTGTTTGTTTGCTGAGAAAAATTTTGTGAGAAAATCCACTTTCTAGTGTTTGTTTTGCAAGAAAATTTATAGGAGAAAAATCATGCTAAACTATAAAAATGCATGTAATTTACTTTTATGACAACTTGCACCCCCCAAATGTTGGGATGACAAGTTGTTTGCTCTCAAATGTTTCAACAGAATTTACATGTGCATA